AATGAATGCTTATCTCAAATACCATTAGACACACTCTGGTCAGATCTGTTGTTATCTCAACCCTTCATGCCCCACCTTGGGCGCCACAAAGAACTGTCATGGTTTAAGCCCAGCTGGTAACTCAGAACCACGCAGCCGCTCACTCACGCCCCCACTTCCTTCCTCCCGCTCCCAGAGGGATGGGGAGGAGAATTGAAAGATGTAACTCCCACGGGTTGAGATAAGAACAGTCCAGTAACTAAGGGATAACACAAACCACTACTGCTGCTGCCAATAATGATAATAATGATAAGGGAAATAACAAGGGAAGAGAATACAACTGCTCACCACCTGCCGACCGATACCCAGCCCAACCTGAGCAGTGATCTAGCCCTTCCGGGTAACTGCCCCCAGTTTATATACTGGGCATGACGTGCTGTGGTATGGAATACCCCTTTGGCTAGTCTGGGTCAGGTGTCCTGTCTCTGCTTCCTCCTAGCTTCCCATCTTTCCTGGCAGAGAATGAGACTCAGAAATTCCTTGATCGAAGTAATCATTACTTAGCAACAACTAAAAATATTGGTGTTACCAGCTTTGTTTTCAGGCTGAAAGTCGAAAACAGAGCAATGCACCAGCTACTAAGACTGAGAAAAGTGACTGCTACTGCTGGATTCAGGACAGGTCATCCAACCAATTCTTTATCCACTGGGTGGTCCCTCCATCAAATTGATGTCTCTCCAGTTTAGAGACAAAGATGTTGTGTGGGACAGTTTCAAATGCTACGGGTAATGAAAAATCCAAGTATGTCTTTTAAGGGACAAATACAATTTTAGTAAAAAAAAGGTTATTCTTAAAGTTGTTAATAAACGTGAATACCACAGGATTGTATCAGGTATCTAGGAGTTCAATATTATTTTAATAGAATCTGCAAATCTTCAGGTTTTCATATAGTATTCTCTTTTAACTGCCATGACTTCAAAGAAAATAGAGATTATTTTATCCCTTACATTACAGAACTGTAGCTGTGTGATAAACAACCTCTACTAACCTGAGAAAAATAATGGTTTCCTTTTAAAAGGAAAAGTAGGAGGTTCAGCAGTAGAGGAAGAGGGATTATTGAGCAAGTTAATTAGAAACAGCCCAAGGGAAAAGTTAGGAAATTAAAACCCATAGAATCAGCATGACGACAGCTAAAAATATATTGTCGCAAGATATGCTGAGTGTGGGGAATGGCAGGGAGGAGAATAAAGAATTTGATTAAGCGGCAAGAAATACTTTCAGGTGTTTTGATTTCTACATTTCCTGTGATCCAGACTCAGTAAAACAGTGAAGTAATAATTCCACTTTGCAGATTCATGCTAATCATTAGAATAAAGGCTGCTGGAAAGTTAAATATCCATGGTTAATGTTTGCTACATCAGGAGAAGACACGCTATGGGAAAGCAAATATACATGAGTGGTATGCAACACAGGTTTTTCCTTTGACTGAAGAAAGTACCATTTTGTAAGGAATTAAGACTCAAGAAAGGGAAAGTGAAAAAATGAAATTTAGTATGTATAATAATAATAATAATTTGTTTTCAGTAATAAATGATCGAGAAGTTGTGGTTTATTGTCCTGGATGGTAGTGGAAAGCTACGGCTATTATGAGGCAGATTTCAGAGCCAGTTTTTACGTTAAAGGTTTATGTAGCTTTGAAAATAAGATCTGTTCATATATTCCAGAATATATTATTGAATATAAAAAGTAATTTATTTTTTCGTATTAAATGAGAAATGTCTGTGAAAGTCAACTCTTGGTTTCGAATGAGCTTCGAATGCACACATCCCAGTGCAAATATATTACATCTGACACACTGACTTCAAGAATGTGCACGGTGGCTGAATTTCTGGAAGTCAGGGCATGCCTACATTTACTTATTTACACACGTGAATAAGTAAAATAAATTTATACAAACATAAATATATACATTGAATACATATACCAGTGTGTTTTTCAAGACTATAAAATAGGACATATTGTATGGTTTTACAAGCCACTTCAAAGAGGTGAACTATGTGGTTTGCTTGTGTGTCCTGTTGTGTTTTTTTCTTTAAAATAAGTTTTGGTGTGGTTTTGTTTGTTTGTTTGTTTTTTAACTGGATCAGCTATGTGAGTTTAATTTCCAAATAATGACACTTATTAAATAGTGAATATAATTTTTTTAAGATCTTTACTATTCTACATTATATCTCACTAACATGAATTTTTATAAGTGCCTACTGTAATACTTTAACATCCCATTGTCAGTGGTTAAAGAAATATTTGTTATTCACATAGCTTATTGTAGTTTTCTGTTTCAGCATTCAAAATTATTAGCTAATATTGGGCCAGCATTCAGATTTAATGGCTCAGTTTCCTGTGAATTGAATTACACAATCTGTCCTGCAATTGCAGTGTGGATTTCTTGCATATAATAGAAAACAAATCAGTATCTGTGTTAACTGATGTCCTGGGTTCAGCAGTAGCAGTCATTTCTCTCCTTCTTGGTAGCTGGTGCAGTGCTGTGTTTTGACTTTCAGCTTGGGAACAGAGCTGATAACAATGATGTTTTGGTTTGGCCAAGGACTTTGTGGGCCTCATGCTCTGCCAGGGAGGAGGGAAAGCCGGGAAGAAGCAGAGACAGGACACCTGACCCAAACTGACCAAAGAGGTATTCCATACCACAGCACATCATGCCCAGGATGTAACTGGGAGTTAGCCGGAAGGGCTGGGAGACTGTGGGGCTGGAGGAGGTGTCGGTCAGAGCTTGGTCAGGCTGGGGGGGGCGAGTTATCGGTCAGCTGGTGGTGAGGTGTTGTATTCTCTTCCCTTGTTATTTCCTTTATCATTGTTATTATTGGTGGTAGCAGTAGTGATTTGTGTTATACCTTAGTTACTAAACTGTTCTTATCTCAACCCGTGGGAGTTGCATTCTTTTCAATTCTCCTCTCCATCCCTCCAGGAGTAGGGGGAGGGAAAGAAGGGGGGGAATGAGTGAACGAGTTACCTGACTGGGTTTAAACCACGACAACTGATTAGAAGCAGAAGTTGCAAAAAAAAAAAAAGGTGGACTTGTTGGAATGTGATGCATTTGATGAAGTTCCTTTCCTTTTGTTCTTCAAATAAATTAAAATTTAATTTTTTTCCTCCAACTTTTTTTTCCCTTCGAAGAAGCGTGGGTAGGTAGTGACTCCCTCTGGGAGAAAATGTCATAGGATGGAAGCACAGGAAAATTGTATTCCTTTACTGCTTCTATCCCAGGTTCTTCATGCAAAGCATGTATCTTTAGGGTATGTTGAGTTCCCCACCTGTAAAATGAAATTGGCATCTTTGCAAAGATACTGGTTATTTTCCTCACTCTTTGTCTCTCCTAAATGGAAACAGATTTGTTTTAAGCACCAGTTCATTAACCAACATAGTGGGTTGTTGCCCTAGTTACAGCTTAAATAATCTTTAACAGCATTTAGTTTTGTGGAGCAATCATTATTGCAGGGCTTAATGAATAAGAGCTTGTTTAGTGAGCCATGATTCAGATTGTTTTAAATGTAGATCCAGAGATCATGACTGAATTGAATTTTTGATAATTAATTGTCTTACTGGTTTAGGTTTTCTGTCCTGTTCATGGTTTTGTGGTTTGGTTTTGTTTTTTGGTTTTTTTTTGTGCATGTGTTTTGTTGTTGTGTTTTTTTTCCCCCTAAGCTGGCACTAGCAATTCTTAATTTTTCTTCTGCCAGTCTTGAATTAACTGTCAACAACACAACATGTGACAGTATAGAATGTCATTGAGGCTACAGGTAGCAGAAGAATACTGTGAAATTTATGTATATTGAAAAGAGATTGCGCCGCAGATTTCAGGTGGTCCACTTAAGCTCCTAAAAGACCTTTAGAAAGGAGCAGTGATTAATTCTTTTAATTATAAAGCTACAGCCAGACTAGGCTGTTGTGTGTCTTAAGACAAACCCCATAAAAATTACTATGCAAACATTTCTACGAGTACCCTGTGACCTTTCTCAATAAGAACATCCTCACTGTTTTGTGTGAGTTCTGTATGATTCAATTATTAGGTAAAATCCATTATAAAACTTTTTAAGACTTAATCTGAATATAAAATTACTTATTACATATTTAGGAATACCTAGTGCTTTTAAGCAGTTACCTTCTTAAGTCCCAAGAGAGGTTAGAAAACTGGATCTGGAAAATGGTTTTTTTTCCTCTTCCTTTCACACTTTTTTCCTTCCCTCTCTGTTAAGGATGGGAGAAGATCAGAAAGTTGTATTTTAACCTTTTTCCAGTTAACGCTAAAGGTGTTAGTCCTGTTATCACTAGTTGAGGGCAAAGACCATTCTGTAGGCAGTGGTTCAGTTCCTTAAATCTGCTGCCTCTGAGTTGCAAGGCTTAACATAAAAATTTCAAGTCTTAGCTGTGTGCATGTGTGTGAGGACCTGATTTGAGTGCAGAGATTCATATGGGAATTTAATCTCAGTTATAGGCATAGACGTAAATCCTTATTTTGTGATGTCTGATAGGTACAGTGTAATTGTTCACAGTGCTTTTCAGTAAAATGTGTTTTAATAAAATATAGACATTTCCCAATGGAATTTTTAGATTCTTACCTGTTTTTTTAGGGGTTTTCTTGTAACCTTTAGCAACTGTGGTTTCTTTATGTAGTTGTATCCTTCTACAACAGCGTCTGATCCTGCTGTAATTATATGAAGTCCTTACTGGCTATTAGCTTAGGTCTGTAATGTTTAGCTAATTTGTCATGACATGTTTCTATAATGAATTTTATATGTCTGAGTAGTTCAGGGTCTTACAAACTTGATTTTGGTTCCCAGTTGTTTTACGTGCAATTAAAAACTCAATACTGTTTCAGGTAAGCTGCCCCTTTCCTGCTGTAGTTTTTTGATTTTTGTATATCAGGGTATGGACTGGGCATGGTCTGAATCTATGTTCCAAGTAAAACTTTTAACATGATTCATGCAACTTCTTGTTCGTTCTAGCCCCACTACATATGTATTGGATGAAGATGAACCTCGCTTCCTTGAAGAAGTTGATTACAGTGCAGAAAGTAATGATGATCAAGACATTGAATTGGCTGATAATGTGGGTGATTATGAGGCAACTAATCAGGAAGATGGACTTTCAGACTCAGATTCAACAAGGATACTCCTTTCTTGAACCAGCTTTGCAGCCGGTAATAGAAAGTTAAGTATCCTGGCTTTTGTAGTCAAATACTTCCATGATGTTGTCTACCATGGGGATATACTTAAGGAAACACAGATAACTTGGGTGTGCCTAGCTCAAAGACAATAAATATTTCTGATAAACTGGCATTTACTTTATTTAAGAAGTACTGTGTTTTCTTTTAGCACTGAATAGATGTTTACCAGTTCATTTTCTACGAAGTATCACCGCATGGCATTTTGTGTCGTTAAACCCTGTCTTCAGAAAAAATAATTTATGGTGTGTCAGAGTACAGATTTTTTTTTTTTTTATATAGGTCTTTGAGTTGCTTTCTGAAAAATATATGTACAGGTTTTCTAAATTAATTTATGTATGTGTCTGTACATGTATGTCTTTATACTGAGGTGAAGAGGTTATTTTTCACATTATTTCAAAGGTACTCAATTGTGTTTGGAGGTAATGTAGTGCCTGCTCTGGAACCATTCAATAATTACTACATTAAAAATGCAAAAGCGATGTATGAATTGTTTCACTTGTTCCTTGCTTCTGAGGATTATATTGTTCTTCCACACTACTAAGTGATTTCAGTTTCAGAATTCAGTTTAGGAATTTTGTACACTGATCAATACAGCCTGTGCTTATAAGAACTATACACTGTATAAAACTCAATCCCTTTAAATAAGCATGGTTTAATATGAGGAGGTTTGGATTTTGTAAGTGTACATGACTACCAGAACCAGTTAGATATGTACACTGTTCAGCTACCCAGTTGCTCCATTTTTCTCGTTCAATATGCATGTCGTTAAAAAGCATTCACTTTACTGGGGGCACATTAACTATATACCCAATTCAAATGCTCTAAGAGGGAAGGTGCTTTTTGGCCTGGTCTCAATCCAGCGTTAGCCCTGTTCTGAGAAGGAGATCGAACTATAACTTCCTGAGGTCTCTTCCAGCCTGAATAATTGTTCTGTGACTCTGTTATTCATGTTTAAAGTCAAGCTGTCAGGCATGGGATTTACACTTCCCTGTCATCTACTAATTCTCATCGCCTTTAGCCTCTGCTTAGAATAAGATCTAATAGAGAAATGAAGTTGTTTACAGAACTGACATGTTTTGCAATGAAAAATATTTTTCCCAAGCTATTTTTACTTGATGTGACCCAATTGTGGCATACATTTTCTACTGCATGTGCAAGGGCTTTAAAAACATGAAGAATAGCACTTCTGAGTTATCAGAGGTTTTTAACTGATGAGAACTTTGTGAATGTTTACTGTTGCAAATCAAACTGTATTTTGGAGGGGAAGTGTGCCTTTGGTAGAAGGATTAAAGAAAGAAAGCTATCAATGATTCTCAATCAGGAGACAGATTTTGACCAGGATCTGCTGTTTCAAATGCAGCATTTTTTGGTGATGCCTATCCAAACTATTCTGATCCTGAAACTGGGGAAGGGTTTTTGATTCCTTGGGTATGCTACTGTTTTTTTGTTTAAAGGCTTAAATTTATATTAATATTCACGCAGATTTGAGATGTAAGGGTATAACGAAATATATACATTCTTGTCCCTTTATAAGTTTCTCTCTCTAGTGAAAATTATCATTGCTTGTGTTCCATGAATTACATACAGTAAGTAAGAAAGTTTAATAGCCTGTTGAAGAGGAGCCCTCTGCATTGGAAGTGTAGAGGAATTTTCATCCTTGAGGATTTGTACTTCAGTACCTTACATAAATAATTTTTACTTACATTTCTCCTTAGTTTTCATATGAACCTGTGTTAATACTGGGACACTATTTTCATACTACAGGAAAGACTAGAAATGTACTTCATTCTCTTAAAAAGAATTGTGACTTAGTAGTACAAAACCATCATGAGTAAATATGCATGTCTGTTCTTCTCATATCTTCTACACCTTTTAGTCTGTGCAGAGGAGTTATTCATAACTTCTGTAATGGCTCAGTTTAGTATTCACTCTCCTAAAACAATAATGTGTTTTTACACTAGATTCTAATGCACTTGTGCATTAGAGTAAATGTATGTGTTTGATTATGCAGGATGTCAGTCTGGCAGGTGTGGGTCTGAGTTTTGACTCAAGAGTGAAGGTTTGCCCTGACCTTACACGCTGTAGAAAATGCAAAGGCTGTTATCTTTTACACATTTTGTGGCACTTCTTAATGTGCCTTCTGAAAGGCAGTCTCCATTTGTGTTCACAGGGATGACAGTTCATGGGAAGAACTACCGCAGTGGTAGTGGCTTCAGACTGTTCATACAACTGTTTATACTTCACTGCTACAAGTTGCCATTCTTGCAGTGGTGTTGGCAGACACATACCGGTTTTCCCTTTTATCTGTTTTGGTAGGAAGTCTGTCATTTAGATGGCAATGGAATAGCTGAGGCTTGAGCAGGCATTACATTCTGGTTCTATGAATTCATCCAGAATAAATGGGCAGAATGGATAGCAAAGAGTGACAGCTTCTTGGACTGTCACAGATCAGTCACCTAGCATAGCCTGTCCACACAATTGATTGGTTTTATTCTATGCATTGGCAATCCAGTGTGTTTCTGGTTTTAAATTACGCTCTTACTATAAGCATGACCGATTCTGTTTAGGAAGAGAACATATTCTTGTATCTTTTTCTAGTAATAACAATATTGTAACTACATCTGTTATTTACTGTCTTGCTTCTAAATAATTGCTGGATGTTGAATTACTTTATTCTGTTCCCAGGTATAATTCAGTTGCAGCACAAATTTTGTGTCTTCACTGGTGACTTACCCTGGTGTAATGTAACTTACAGCTAAGGCTGCAGTTTGTGCCAAAATCTTGCCTGACTGTTTTTGGAGGTGGATTGCTTTATCAGCCTGACTTATCGGGGAGAATTGGTTTGAATCTCAATAAGGCTGCAGTAGCAGTAAACACTGTTCACAAAATGCAAAAATTCAAGGTTTCAGATAGTTCCTATTGTAATGCTGTGATAGATACAATTGTTACAGTGTTGTTATGCATGGCCCAAGTAACAGTACTCATTAATAAAAATACTTAATAAAGAATTAATTACAATCAGTTTGCTTCCCTATTATTGATTAGTGATGTTGAAAGGATTTATCATAGCCTTTGCAGCAATGTACCTACCTGAAAGAACTGGGGTGTATTTCAGAAAGTAGGATTTTTGTTCTCTGTCAAAGTCAGCATGCTGCAGGCTTACAGTACCATATCAGTAAACTGACTTCTAACTCTTAAAAATTTTAATATTCATTAATGTGTGTAAAACTTAGGAAGACTTTGGATGAACCAGAATAAAGGCCATTACAGAGCACACAGAAGAGGAAAGTCTTTTGGTGAGATTCTCCCTCCTACACAGCCAATAGACTTTTCATCTGATCTGGGGAAGTCACAAGTTAATTCCTCATTAAGTAATTCCTTTACAGCTCAACTCAGACTGCAATTGAGGGTTAATTTTTTTTTACTATTTATATTTTTGCAGTAGCAATTTTAAGATTTGAGACAATGTTTTTGAGGGAAAGCTTTTAATATATAAGCAGATCTTCTGGTTGTCTGAAGCTGTCTGAAAAGAGCAAGTGGTTACTAGGAATCATCAGTGTCAGTTTTGCAAATACATATGCAGGTTACTTAACTGTGTCTATTGTGTTTAAGTTGAACAACTTCCTTCACAAACTCTGTTATCCAAACTGTTGCAGGGTGTATAAGAGTCACAGTGACTCTTAAATCAGGATATCTTTCTTTGATCTTAATGTTTCTAAGGTAATAATGATGTAAAGCATTTGAGATGTGACCTCTTGTTTGCTTAAATAAACTATAGATTGCTTTGAAAGAAGGGCTTCAAAATATGACATGCTCAGCAGCTTTGACACCTAGTAGAGAATGCATTATCTTACATTCTGGATGGCTTGGATATTTTTAATAGTATCATATATAGAGTTTGTTTAGTCTCTGTAAAATACTTCATAGCTATGAAAAACATCCCCTTAATTCTTCTGTTATAAAAAGGTGCAAATACTCTTTTTTTTTTTTTTTTTTGTAAAAAATATAATAGTGCAGTCTTCGAAGCAGTTCAGAAAGAATCATCACTGAAAATTAGGGGTTTAGCAACAAAGGAAGCAGCATACCATAGGATTTGTTGATCCAAATTATGTGGTTACCAAATGCCAAACAGCTGCTGCTTTTTTGCTGCCTATGTAGCATTCTTGGCACAAGATGTTTTTGCTTAGTGTGTGCCCTTATTTCTTGGAAGGTGGTTATTTAGCATGCATCATTTTTCGTGGTAGATTGGAAGAATACGTATGTGAACTAGCAGCACTACATAGCACTACTGTAAGTTTTTACTGGCCTGAATGTGGAATAAGAACCTGGCTAACAAAATTGCACGATACTAATTCCATACATAAAATACTGCTGTTAATATGGAGTGGGAGATTGACTTATAATGACTTGAAATCGGACTCTTCTTTGCACTGCCCCTCCAGATTTAAAAAAGTAAGATATTAAATGTACAAAAGGTTCTGCACAATTCAGTACAGACTTTGAACTTTATTCCAAACCCTAGACTGTTGTTACCTATCTTTTGTCTTACACACTTGAAAAGAAAAATTTCTAGATTTACTTGTCATGTATTTAGAGAATACCTGACTCTACTATTCAGTTCTTTTGTGTTTGGGATTTTTTCCCCCCCTGAAAAACGCTACTGGAGTAAAAAACGAAATACTACTGCAGAAGTCTTCCAGCTTAATCTGTCTTCTTATAACAACTAATCTGCATAAGGTGTCTCAATTAAAGATAAGTTGTAAGCTTATTAGAAAAGCTCTCAAGGTCATAATGAGGTTTACCCCCAGAACATGTAGGTCTATGGCCAGGAAATAGCCAAGGCAGGGGGTTAGTTTTTACAGAACAAGAGTCTTGCTTCCCTTCAAACTTGAGAGCCACACAAAGGTTATTTGCCTTCCAGGAAAGGCATCACAGGCTGAAATCCAAAACTCATGTTCATTTACAGCTTGCAGTCTTCTTAACTTTAACCCTAGCACGTGAAACAGCTCTAGGAGGCTACTGGATTTCACAGTTGAATTGCTTTTCACTAAGGTGGTCTTTCATCACTTGATTGGTTGCAGACCACATTCCTTAGCAAGTCTGTCTCACTTAGCCTTTCAA